CGACACTTGGATTTTAATCAAGTACAAATAACCTTTTTAATTACGATATTAATATATTCCACTACATCGCACCTTACGATAGGTTCGGTTTTATTAGCGAATGAATTTCCTCCACGTTAGAGAATATATTGGTTTTTATATCAAGCTCACGGTGCTCCCGTGTGTTTGCGGCGCAGTGGATTACTCCTCACCAATTCAGGCGACTATAAAGTGCTCCGGGATCTCCGATCTTTGTATCACACTAGGCGCTCTCTCTCATTCTCCCCCAAATCTATCGAATTCGAACTGGAATTCATTTCTCTATGAAGACCGGAATGCGGTATTACGCCGGCGGCGAGGATCATCGGCAGGAATCTCATTTCCTCGAAGCTTGTTTTCTCTGCCGGAGGCCGCTCGGATTCAACAGAGACATTTTCATGTACAGGTGAGTGACTGCGATTCGAATTCGATTAATCGCTTCTCGATTTCAATTTCTAGGTTTTTGTTTTTGAATTTCGTTACTGACGGATTGGATTGGATTTCAGAGGAAATACGCCGTTCTGTAGCAAAGAGTGCCGGCAAGAACAGATTGAGATCGACGAAGCGCAGGAGAAGAGCTGGAGAATCTCGACTTCGTCGTCGTCTTCGGCGGATAAAACCGCGGCGTCTAGTAAGAAGAATGTGCGAACAGATACAGTTGCAGTGGCGTGAGATTCGATGAAGAAATTTTGGAAAATGTTTTCGAATGCGAGAGGAAAAGGTTTTTTTCTTCTTCAGATTGAGTGCAAATTGTGGAGATTGAGAAACGTTTGAAATCTCTTCCTGTGGAGAAGATCGGATTGGCAGACGCTATACAGAACTGTTCTGCTTTCGATCTATTTTTCTTCTTTTTTTAGGGTTTATGAAGATATTGCTCTGTTTACTATTTCTGTGGAAAAGAAATTGATGATCTGCCATGGAAATTCTCTTCAAAATTTTACGAAATTATTAAACTGGAGACATTATTGCAAATAATCATTATTTATTTAATTATTCTCTCTTCTCTTTTTTTTTTGGGAATTTGTGGTTTGTGGGTTTTTTTTTTTTTTTTTTTTTTTTTTTTTTTTTTTTTGTCTCTCTGAATATATTTCAGATTTATTATTATTATTTCCTAGAAAATTAGTGCATAATATTAATATTCGTTCAACCTATTCAACGAATCTTATAAAAAAAAATGGTAGAAGTAATTTTTTTTTTTTTTTTGAAAACGAGTTACAGAATCCCATTTTTTTGCTCCTTTTTATTTTTTTTGTTTCCTTTAAAAACTGTACTTTTGTTATTTTAAAACTAAAAAAAAAATAGTCGATGATAAATTAATATATTTTAAAATAATAAATTTATAATATTTAAATTAATAGCACTGGTACGTGATAAATGGTATGTTTTGACATGTTATTTATTATCACTGCTAGTGTGCCGTTTTCATGTGTTTGAATGTTTTGTTTTCCTCTCTAACTGATGTGATGTGAGGTTTTACAATTCACACCCCTTAGAGGTTCCAGCGGAAATTGGCACATGCTCGATGTCTGACTCTGATACCATTATTTCATTCCTTTCTTCAATCGATGTGGGATCTCACACTCCACTCTTGATAAAGATGAATGTTCTTCTAACTCGAACAAGAAACAAATGCAACCCCTTTTTTAGGGTAAGATTTTGAAACGTTGAATAGTTTGAAATGGATGGTGCAAAATTCATCTACTTGAATTGTCACCATACACCTAGCGTAATTATCGAGCTAGCATTGTCGTACAATCTTGTGTTGCTGCATCTCGTTATTGAATATTCAATAACGATAAAGCTAACCTATCACGAAAATGAATTATGTCTTTATTTGAAGAAAGTCATCTTCTCTTATCAAGAGAGACACTGTCAGCATCTGACCTAAAGTTCTTTAAACGAACATGATCTATCATCGTAATTGTTTTTCATATGCTCGGGCTCGTTTCTGCTATCTTTCATGCTATCTTTCTTCTTCTTACTCTTTAATCGGTTGCTATCGATGTTGAATCACAAGCGCACCTTTATCACTATATAACTCTCTTTCCTCTTACAATCGTTTATCAATGAACCTCAACAAAATTTAAAGTTCGGCTCTTGTATATCAAGATTGACTACGTGTATTCATAAGAAGGTGTAAGTAACGGTACGAGCTTATATACTCGTCATTTATATTTGCTTCGATCACCTTTAGCTAAAAAAAAGCTCTAGTAGCAAACCAACGCGTCACTCTAACACACTAAATATTACATGCTTGTGACATATTTGTTTTTAGATTGGAAAATAAAATTTTAATATATGTTTTTATTATTTGGGCTTTAGAACTGATGTAAGTTATGTAACCCAGGCCCACTAATTCTTTCAGATCCATTTTCTAATAATTACAAATTATTATTTATTTTATTAGTTATTATTTAATTAAATATTAAAAAAAAAATAAAACCCATGATTCCAATAAGCCCAATTAAAATCATATTTAAAAAATAGGGTAAAGTTAAATTTTTGACGTAGTTATAAATAGTATAAAATTTAAATAAATTTTCAAAAATTTTAATAGTATATTTAAATTATTAAAAAAAAAAAAAAGTCTTTACCATCGGTATTATATTGAAACTGTTAATATTTTATTTTTAAAAATACTTTTGATTTTGTAAAAGTTTCGTTAATACCTTCAATCTTTTACCGTTTGTAACACGTTTAAAAAATACTCATAACACTTGAAGTAAACTGAAAGTTTGGAGACAATCTATTCGTCCACTTTTTAATTTTTTTTAGTGGAAGAATATTAATGAAACTTTTAAAAATTTAAGGGTATTTTTTGAAATAAAGTACTGTATAATTATTATTTAAATATTTAAATTAAAAATTTACAAATTTTCAATAAACACAATTGATTCTTAAATATTTTCTTAACTATAAATCTAATTATTAATGGTCTATAAAATATTAAAAATTTAGTATTTATATGACAATTTATTAACGTCGAGCACCAAACAACTTTGGCTTTTTATATATATATATATATTTAGAGTGAAGCGAAATTTGTAATTGACCTATTTTAAAATTCGAAGAAATAAATATTTTTATTAAAAATAAACTATAAAATATGTTTTTTTTTTCCAATTATTATACCCTCGTAGTTATGATTTTTTTTTACACTGTTTTTTTCCACTTTTTTATATTTATTTTTGGAAAACTTATGATAAATAGTTTAAAAAATTCATAAAGTGTTATTATTTATTTTACAAATAATAATATTAACTCTCACAAAATATTATCTTCTATTTACAAAACAGAAATCTTATTTAATGGAATAGTCTTTGTTTACCACTTTTAGAGATATAATAAAAAAAGTTTGACATTTTCTCAAAAAATAAAAATTAAAATAAAAAAATGGTTGAAATGTTATAACCCTAAATTATTTTGAATTTTTTTTATTTGTTATATGTTTTAATTAACTAAGTCATGTTCAAATTGGTTAAAAAAAAAATGATACCGAGTCAATGAATTAAACCGGTTAATTTATCTTTTTGAGCTTTTAGGGTATGTCTGAGTTAATTAGTTGAGTTACGCTCAAATTGGTGAAAAAAAACTATTTACTTATAATATCGCTCAAATTTGTGTGAAAAAAAAGCATTAAGTAAAAAAATCGACTCAGGTAGTATTAGGTCAACGAGTTAAACCGTTAGTTTATCTTTTTTGAACTTTAGGGTATATATTTTAAATAATTGAGTTACGTTCAAATTGGTGAAAAAAAAAAAACAAGTGGGGTATAAAATCAATAGTCTTAAGTTAATAGTTAAATTGTTAGTCTGTCTCCTTAAAACTTTAGTGCTTAATTAGTTGAGTTATGTTCAAATCAATGATAAACACAAGTTGAGTATAAAATTGACTCGCCTGGTCTTGAGTCTATGAGTTAAACTGTTAGTATATATATATATATATATATATATATATATATATATTTTTTGAGCTTTTAGGATATATGTTTTCATCAATTTTAGCTACTCGGGTAGTCTTGAGTCTATGAGTTAAACTGTTAGTATATATATATATTCTTTTTGAGCTTTTAGGGTATATATTTTCATCCGTTTTAGCTACTCGGGTGGTCTTGAGTCGACGAGTTAAACTTTTAGTTTATATATATATATATATATTTTTTGAGCTTTTAGGATATATGTTTTCATCAATTTTAGCTACTCGGGTGGTCTTGAGTCTATGAGTTAAACTGTTAGTGTATATATATATATATTCTTTTTGAGCTTTTAGGGTATATGTTTTCATCAGTTTCAGCTACTCGGGTGGTATTGAGTCCATGAGTTAAACTGGTAGTTTATATATATATATATTTTTGAGATTTTAGGGCAATGAGTTATATAAATAATTTGATGGGTTAAATAAGGTTAATTTTGATAGGAGAGAAATTAGGGAATAAATTAGGATTAGGATTAGGATTAGGAAAGATTTAGAAAAGGATGAAAAAAAAAACCCTAGAAGTGATTGATGATTTAGATTAGGATTTGGAAGAGGAAAAGTTAAGTAAGACTTGTTCGATTTCCGATCTCCTAAAAAATCTACCTCTTTTGACCCATCTTACCAGTCAGTTTGTTAAGCATTTCTCTCTCTAAAAACACCCTCAAACAGCACACGAACACAATACTCTCATACCCTTCTCCTCTTCCTCCCCCCCCCCCCCTT